TTCTCAAACTTATCAGTTAGTTAACTTCTGTTAACCACTAAAAAGGAATTGTATTGATGATGAAGGCTAAGAAAAAGCATAGATAAATACAGTGGACTGCATTATCACGTAGGCATTGTTTTCTAGATTTAAGCCTACTCTACTAAGCACTACACGTCTGAGTGTTGGGATAGGGAAAAAAAAAATGGCGGGGGCAAACTCCATGGCTGTCAGTTAACTATCATAACACCTTGCACCTCTCACTACACCAAAAGCAAGCACAACACAGAAGCTATCTTTGGAGATACACAGGCTTTGGAGAACAAAGTTTATACCAATGAAGAATAGTGACAAATGTTGAATGTTCCACACTAACTCTAAAGAACAACAGCTTCTAAATATAATATACTGCAAATCCTAGGCAGTTTCAGATTTTTAATGTCTCTCTGCATAACTACTCATTTTAAAAAAGATGGAAAGCAAGTAATTTTGTCTGGGATGTGCACTCTGAAAATCATATATGAATCTGTTGCATATTCCAAGCTTATCTGAATTTTTTGCTTCCCTCAGTATGCCATTTATTAATTTTACTTCCAATACCATACTTGATCGTGCAGCAATGACGCATCCTAAATCCCACTGTTTAGGATCCTATCCTCCAGCATACTTATACTCTCCATGTCAGTATCAATTGGTCCGCTAGTGGTTAATTCTAAAAGTCTGCCTGTTTAGAGGAGGTTTACAGCTCAGAGCCTGCACAGGTGAAAGGACCCTGGGGAGATGAGGCATCATGCCTGAACCTAGAGGTAAGAGATGCAATCCATCACTAACATCAGCTCACTGCTAAGGCATGAGCAGAAAGGTGGGGCAACAGACCAATATTTCAGTCAATGGGAGCAAATGCCAAAAGATGCGTGAGTTCTGCCATTGCCCTCACTCAGCCAGAGGAAAAACAAATGAGTTTGCAGGCAGATCCACCACAGTTCCAGTAGCACCTCTATGAATACTGAAGAACTATTGATCTACAGAGGTTAAACCACTGCATACTTTACATTTGCATGAACAAAGAGCACACACCTCTGCACATCTCAGCTAGTCTGCATGTTGTAACAATTCTCTTATTTCTGACCTCTGGTCCCCAACTCCCAACAGCACTGCTACTGACAGAGCAAGAAAAAAAAAAGAAGTAACATGCTACACTTACTACATGAGTCATTAGCAAACTTCCCTGTGCCTAACCTGGCTAGAAGACAAGCAAGTGGTGGAAACTAATACACTATGTTCTAGGTGACCAGTAAGGTCATAAATAAGTTACACATTAAAAGCAGAACATCTAGAATTCACCTAGCTCTTATTTTAATCTAATAATACAGTTGGAAACCCTTTAGAATGAAGCCAGGTGACTACAGGTTCACAAATCTTAAAGACAGAAGATTATTCCCACTGTTCAACTTCAGGCAATGAAGCTGCTCTGCATTGTCCTGAAAAACAACCTGCTTCTCTGTGTTGTTCATAGCAGGAACTTGGGCTTCTAACTGTAGGTGCTTTGCATTACAACATTCCATCCCTGAAGTTCAGTAAGATGTTATGCTCTAAAGCACATGAAAGGCACTTGCTTCATCTGTGGAGATTAACATACTACATTTCTTTAAAGGGACATATGTTAGCGCTATCAGTTTAAAACTTAATTATTTGATTCTTTTACATCATTAAAAACATTGTTCCAAACAGCATTAGGTTCCCAAAACCATTTCCCAATACTAAAATGGTCAAGTTGGGTATTGCCTCTGAACACCAGCATGATATTTCTCATAAAGAGTTAAAGCACAAATTGAACAGGACACAAGAAAATCTGCACATCACTGCCATGCCAAACTGCCCCATCTGCCAATAACAAGTTTTTTACCATTACTGCCACAACTAACACAATTAGTTCAAGTGAGATTAAAGCACAGGATAAATTAACATTTAAAGACATTAAGTGATGCTAAAAAAAATACCTTCGCTCCCTGCTTCAAATGCATGATCATTTAACAAGCAAATGCAACGGGAATATTTCACCCGAACTTACCTCATATGAAAAGCTGACAGCAGCTTACTGCTTTTGCCATCCTAGTTTCATCATTAAACAGATTGCCTGACAGTCTGATTTCCCTCCCTTTATCCCTGACTTAAAAACCCCTAAGGAAAAGCCAGTTGATCAGCCTGTAATGAACTATTCAAATTACTTAGGAGTTAATTGTCTCCAAGTTGAGTTATTAGCAATCTAACAATACAGCTGCATTTTAAGCAGAACACCACTTCAGCTGCCCCAACAGTCTCTTGCTTCAGGAGCCAGAAGTTTTACTTACTCTGCTGCTTCAGATACAACACTTACACCAAGCCTTAGGCCAGCAGAACAAGCCCTTATCTTCTCATCCCTCTCTCCACTAGCCTCCAGGTCTAGGAAATGCCTGACCACCTCTGTCACACGTGACATATTAACACAGATTTGTTCCATGGCAATTAAATTCAAGAAAAAAAAAATGGCTTTGAGTGAAATAACTAATTCCAAAGCACATGGAAGCAAGGGGAAAAAAGGTTATTGCTTCCCCAACTGTGAAGAGCAAGGTAAGCAAAATCTTGAAGCCACTGAGCAATCCATCTTATGACAATGCAAAGCTAAGTAAGTGGACACTTAAACTGCACTGTGTAGCAGTCAGGGGACACTGTTTTCTCTTTTCCCCACACAAGCGATGGAACGGACACACTCCTGACACACATCAAACGCCAGATCTACACAAAGACAGATCTAGCTTCCCACATACAAACGATGCATCATTTCCTTAGCTCAAGCTATTTGATGTCCATTCCAGGGTAACACTGCTCTGGAAAATAAGAGCCAAGAACAACGTGTCCCAGTAAGAATTAAACAAGAACATACTCCCTCCAGACATGACAATATGAATCTGCAAATAGCACAAGCTCAAACATCCTTTTTACAGACACCTCTGAAGATCTGAAACTAGATGGAAGTGCAATCTCTCTCAGTCTCAAGTCTAAAGGTTCATAAACTGTGAAATGCAGACACAGAAATGTTCATGCCATTAAAACCCCAAGACGAATCCAGAACACCAGATGTGATGTTTTTAAAATTAGTCTGCTTAAGCCGAAAATGAGAAAGAGCCAAGACAGGCAACCAGGAAAACTTTTACTACCAGTGACGTTTGTGCTGGAGAAAGATCAGAGTTTTACATTTTTATTACCAGATTTTCAAGGCATCAGAACACACATAAGACCTGTCCCTCCTGCAGAAGGTAAATTCAGTAATTTAGCCTTCCACACTGTAATGTCTATTTAGCTATAGCCAGTTTATAATACTCAGAATGCTTCAAATATATTAGAACAGCAATGTGAGAAAAGCAGCATATCACCAAATCGAGAAGCAGGGTGGAGCACAATATACAGTACTGCCCCATAATTAGGTTGCACATGACCACACATTTAGTCTCCAACTCCACACACTGTGAAATTCATTGTTGTTTACCAAAGCCCTCCTTACAGGTGGAGAACGTTAACTCTGGATTTCTCATAGTAGGTTATTTAAATGTGTTTTTGTCTGCTATAAGAGGTTTCCATAGTACAGGGAGCAGGAGGAAGCAGGATAGAATTAATACCATAACACGCACGAGAGTTAAAACCATATTCTTCAGAAGAAAAGGGGAAAAACTAGCTTCTTTTAGAGAAGATACACTGCAGGGAGAGGGGACAGGAGCTTACTGTCAGCCTTGCTAGCCTGCCTTCTACAGCAAGTGACTTAAGCTGTAAGAACATGCTTGATAAACCTTGTTCCTCTACCACTTTCACACTGTTAGCATCATCAGTACTCAGCCTTTTAAAAAGGCCACATTCTTCTAGAAGGGAAAAAAATGACAAATTTTACAAGTACTTCCAAGCACAAGCTTTTCAGAAATAAAAGATTAGTTTAAGTTCAAACTTAAATTAATTGTTTGTATCCCAACATCTATGTTCCAGTGTACTTAGATGTACTGTTGCACTTTATCTTTCTTTAAAGGCAATACCAAATTGGAAATAAGAGCTTTGGTGAAATCATAATTAATAATCAGATTAAGAATTATTAGTATTTTTAGCTCTCCATGCTTTATGCTTAGCATACCTAACTAGTTTGGCAAAGTTGTTACGTGAACACTTAAGTTTTTCGGAACTTCAGCCCTTCAATGCTTCACTATAAAAGTCCTGGGCTCTGTTGGAAAGGTAGCATCACCCATCAGCAACTTCTGTGGCAGAACACGCCACGACTTCGGGGTTTTTGGAACTTTATTAGAGAAATAGTTACAGAACTAGTCAAACAATGAAAGAAAAACCTAATTTCAAATGCTTTTCTCAGCAACTGATGAAAGAGATACCAGCAAGTGATTCCCAACTTCATCTAATCCACCAGCCCACAAGCTTCTGCTACTCCAGGAGCTCAAGAAAAATTGTACTTGCACCCCTTAAAAAGGCAAGAGAAAAGTAACAGTGTAGAGTGGGGGAAAAGGACTACAGCAAAAAGTAACAATGCAAAAGAATGGTCAGGCATGCACTTTGCAAAGCCAATTAAGTACTTGAAGCATCAACTATTACATCAAGCTACTAATTCCTTCAGCTGAGATTAAGTAAACTTGCTAAAATACCTACACATAGCCTTAACATTTTGAAGACTGTAGTTTTGCAAGCCTAAATGACAGCTCACATTAAATATTAAGCAGTTCAAATAAGTTAAAATATATTGTTCAAGTGAATTACTCATGTGACATTCAATCAGGCAAGGTCAAGCTACTCAATTCAGCTGCAACAAAAATACACAGAAAAACTAGCTAAGATCTCACACATCAGCATCATATTGCTCTGTCATTTAAGAACTGCAGTCTTACCACATTAAAACATTATTCCCCCCCTTAAGGAAACCTACTGTCTTGAATCCTTTCTCCACAGCCCAATATTTCTTAGTGTTAGTAGTATGTCAAATAATCTCCACATACCAGTTGTGAACCATCAGCTTCTGCACAGCCAGTAGTGCATTATAACGAACTTGTTGGTCTTCATGATGCATGTGGTTCATTACCAGCTGTTTACCACCAAGTTGTTCAATCACTCTGAAACAGAGGAGGGGAGCAGGTTTGTTTTTTTTACGTTACTTCAGCTTTTGGGTAGCTATCCTATCCAACCACTTCATGTTCAAGGCATTAAGAGGTTAAGTCACATAATATTTATTTTACTTACAGTATTTGTTTCCTAACATATACATCTTATTTGCCACGTTACAAATGCAGATCTCTCATACTACCCACTGATTTTTTTTTTTTTTTTTTTTTTTTTTTAAGAATTCACATCATCAGAAACTGTTTGTACTGGACTCCTCTGTTTGTTACCCACTACCTACTTCCATAAATTCTGAAATAAACAACAATCAAGGAAGAAGCCCTTTGCAGAAAGGGTTATTTATCTCACCCAGCTTGCTAAAGAACTCAATATTGGCTTGAGAGGGTTGGCAGGGTATAGCACTATCAATTATTATTTAGGAGGAGGTAGTGCCCTCCCCTCCATAAACTGATAACAACCAGGTCAATCAATTTTTTTTTTGCAAGAATACAACCCCAATCCAGTTCAGCACTGCCTAATCCAGAAAAAACATTTGTAATCACATCAAAACCTATTAAACCAGCCACCTGGTACTCCTCATAGTCCTTTTTGCCATTCAAACTGTAGCAGGGCCACAGCTATTCTTGCACAAGATGCAGAACTGGCTGCTAAGTTACACTTCCAGAAAAATCGAATGTTTTAGCTGCATCTTTCACTACAAACCTTACCATAGTAGTGACCCATAGCTTTTTACTAGCTATACCAAATCCCACACAAAATACTGATGAAACCTGGTGTCACGTCATGAAATATAATTTCGTAAATAAAAATGGAAGGCACCACATTTAAAACCTGAAAAACTATCATCATCCAGATGACTCTTTACATGTAGCATTTTCATCTATAATAACAAAAAAAGTTTGGAGAGAATTTACAAGGAATATATAAACTGATTACTCATTGACCCGCGTATGTTTTTTTACATCGGTTCTCTCATAGGTCACTGAAGTTAAACATAGTACCCTCTGAAGAGGCTATCGTTTGCATTACTCCACCTGATGCTTTCCTGCCATTCTAAGCCTGCACTAGCTGTCTGCTTTTATTACTGTTCTTTTCATGGCCAAACTAATGCATTATTGCTGCATAACATAACATAACATGCTTTTGTAAACTGCAGAACAGTATAAAGACACAGCATGGAGATGAAAAATGTAATTTCCATTTCATTTTATAACTCAGTCAAAACCATTTTGGAGAGCACAGGGAATACTATTTCCCAACAGCACTAAAAAAAAAAAAAGATGCTTCATACAACAGAATTGCATTCAGAAAAGTGCAACTGTTTTTAATCTGGAAAATCCTGACCAAGAATTCAAGAAGTTATTACTAATGTAACAGATTAAAAAAAAAAACACCTTAGGCTGCCTCACATTTTTAATCATGAGTTAAATGTAAAACTACTGTATGCAAAGACAAGATTATGAAACACAAACAAGAATTTTTTTCCTCATTACAGAACCGATTTAAACATTGAATTTTCAGGAATTGAAAGGAGGTAAAAAAAGGCATTAGACTGAAATCCTTCCTTATGCTAGGAGCACACAAGAAACAAAATGAAAAGTTAAAATCCTATGATCACAAATGGAAACGGAGTATTTCAGATTGACAGTACACCACTGAAATTATGGCTGAGAATATGAAGAGCTGAAGAACAGCGTTACCCCTCTTGTGTAACACTGCCTCCTGGTACAATTCACTTCCCAGTCATGTGTTTTAGACCAAAAGGGAACTGTGAGGAAGGTTCACAGTGAATCCCATTCCTTCAAGTTCCAAACCTGCTCAAAACACTACTTTTAGTTCTGCTTTCCCTCTCCTCAACTTCTGCTTATTTTACGGCAGTAATAGAGCCCAGGGGGCCAGTTATGGTACGTGCACACCTTCTTCAGGGACTGTTCCCCGTAGTAACAGTGCACTAAGCCAAAACAGCGGCAATTCAACCATGTCTCTGGATGCTGAAGCATCACATTTTGACATGACCCATTTAAAGGATGAAAGGGGAAACAGAATATGAAGACAAATAAGAAAAGTTTAGACTGTTGTAGCAGAAAGTATTAACATAAAATCCACACTACATATCTAAAAGCAGACCAAGGTGAACAAGGGAATGCAATTAAGGCATTTCTGAGTCATGCGCTAAAGCAGAGAATGGCTCCAGGTGTCACTCTCATATATGCAAAACATCAAACCCATGTTCATGGCATTGAGGTGACTGAAGGTGTTGATCTTGCATAGTAGTTGTACTGGAGGCTGATGTTTAGCCTGCATTTCTTTTCAGTGACAGGCAACACCAATGCCGTACTTTATTTCTGCTGTTACATTGTCAGAAAACACATGTTGGTAAGCCTCATCAGAAGACCACGGTGCTATTGCCTTGAGAACTTGTTCCACGATGTGCAATTTTAAAAGCAAGTTAAAATTACTTCAGCTGACAACATTAGCAAACAGCCAAGCAAAAATGTAGTTTGTTCAACAAACATTTTCTGTTGTCAGAAACTGGAAAGGTTAGCCAGAACTGTAAATATAGGTAAACTCAAGAGATTTTAGGTTCTAATTCACCTCTGCAGCCTTCAAAGGCTGAAGGACAATTCAGTTAAGAGTTAAGGATAAACACTTCAAGGAAGCAAAAGTAGTTAAGACATTTGAATTCTCTTACTCTTCTAAACCAACGAATAGCATCCATTCTCAAAGTGAGTCACGCAATGAGAGTGTAAAATGCCAACCAGGCGTGGGAGCAGTAAACGACTACATATCAAAAAATGGACTATTACGTGGGAACTGACACACAGTCCTTAAGATTTTAAGCATTTAGTCCTAAAATTGTTGAAGTCATACTTCATAAGAATACACTGGATTACAAAGGAAATTCTTTAAAAAGAAAGAGACTGCTGCATTTTAGTTTGTCCACCAGAACAGAAAGCTAAATAAGCCAAGTCCGTAAGCAGAAACTAGCTAAGTATTAGAATTTGATATAAGAACGTGGGTTAGAATAGTATCCAGGATGCTTCTTATTTGCTGATGACTACTCAGTTTGAAAGTTGGTGCATTTCTGAATAGGCCCGAGAGCTGAGTGGAGCTGTGGTCCGGTCCCACCAGCAGTACAAATTCCCAACTACAGACAGAGATACAGGTCCTGTTTACCTGCTCACCCGACTTCATAGGTTTGGTCCAGCAATGGCACAGCCACGCTAGCCCAAGCATTATGCCACATTTGGGTAGGTGTGTGCAAGCTGTTTAAAGATTATGGCAAACACCTGATAAGATGGTTTCAGACAAATAGCTACTAAAAGTGGGGTCAACCAGTATTAGTCCTTCAGCTTTGACGCGTGCAGGCAGCAGTATGATTTTCCACCTTGTTGGAGGGTATCCTGCCTCCCCTCCACATACAGATTGATAAATCCCTTGGAAGACACAGGAGTTAATTAGTAAATAAACAGTACACTGCTCAGTATGAGTGGTACACACTGAACACCTCTGACCTTTCTCAGTGGACCTAGAAAACAGTTCATTTATTCCAATAATCTAAAAATATCTTCAGGTCAAATTGCTTACGAGACTACAAGGGCTGTGAGTCTTTCTAGAGTGCACTAATCTTTCTAGTGTATATATATGGCATGAAGTTTCAGTCTGTTTTTTTGCCATTGCACTACTGTCAAGATAGCAGTCTGCACACGAAGTGTTCAGTAAATTCCCAACAAACATAGAAGGCCATTCTCATCTCCACCATTAAACCCTATGCAGAAGCCAGAAACAGACCACTTCCTTGCTACAAAAATTAAGTCACATGTCCCTCTGGGTGACTGATGAGCACGATTCCTGCAAAAAGCAAAGGCCCCTTTCCGCTTCAGTGGTCTCTCTACCTTAGAGATGCAATTATTCAACAAACATGTCTGCTCACAGGTTTTTAAAACAAAACAAAGCAAGAAAATAAAACAATGTCTGTCTGTATATTTTGACAGGAATTCATGTTTACAGTAACTTTAACTTTCACTGAAATGTGTATTTGTGTAGCTAAAACTTGCTAAAATAGAAGAGTGATAACTGAATCTGTGCTAACATCACTGAAATTCTAATAGCAATTGTTTGTGAGAAAAATCTTGTCTCAGTTGTCTGAAGTCACAAAATAGACTTAATTATTGAAATACTCTATCCCTACTGTAAGTCCAATAATCATAGTGCAATATTCATAATAGATGATAAAAACGGTATGTTGCTTAAATTCTTGGTGGCTCATGCAATTTCTTCTGGTGCAAGTCTTCTGCTTTAGTCTAGACAACTTATCCAAGACTTCTTTAGACATAGGTTCCCTTCACTGTTAAGAGACACTGAAATATATGAAGTCAAAGATCTAGTTTGTATCTTCTCATCTGATGTAGTTTGTGTTCTCTCACCTTCCTAGTGAATTAAACTTAAGCATGACCTGCAATCCCTATGTAGCATATTTTAATATAAATAAGCAAAAAAGCCACAGACAAAGAGACTCTAGCAGTCTCTTGAACAACAGCATATTGGCATTTTTCTTACCTTTTCCCACGGGGATAGTGTCGTACATATTCTCCCACATCATGAGCAGCTACAGCCAGCACTTGTGGGTCATCAGAAACCTCCAGAAGTTTCGTCAGGATTCTAGAAAAGCATTTGAAACAATCAAGTCCCAAGATTTGGTTTCGGTGGTTGGGGTTTTTTTTTTTTGGTTTGGGTTTTCTTCATTGTTGTGGTTTTTTTTTTTTTTAAATCACTGATAACTTGAAACAGCAAAATCTGTATCCATAAAAATGCTTCACAAGTCACCCAAATAGCAAAGCTAGAATATGTTTTCCAAACATGCAGTTGCACTTAAAACAATGGAGATCCTGCCCTAACTAACAGAATTATTAAAAGCATTCACTAGAGTAAGTTTAGTGAGCTGCACCTACAAATACCTACAACCAAGGTTTACAAAATATCTGCTTTTCGTTTTTTATACCTTGGCTTCAAGACCAACAGTTTTGAGTTCAAGACAAGCTGTACTAACCAAAAGTACAAATATTTACAGACTGGGACAGGGGTGTGACACAAACACAAAGCCTACACAAGGCAAATAGATGCTGCTGCTGCTTCTGTTATACAACAGATGTCAGTCATGTCTGCATGCTGTTCCGAGCTCTTGCACTCAGGATCCTGTACTACGGATTCAGAAAGAGATAAGGCCACACTGGTTATGACACAGCAAGGGGGTTATGACAAGCCTGCTATCTATCAGACTTTCCCCAATTCTATTCCTCCTTTCATCTTATAACAGCAGCCTTGCTCAGGGCAGGACAGTAAGGTCAAAAAGGGCAGAATTTTATGCAGAACACTGTTACACAGAGTCATTTAAAAATTAAACGGCATCCTAGCAGTTGAGAACAAAGCAGCACACTGAGTTCTTTGGTCTGTGCAACTGTGAACTTCTCTCAGGCCAAGACCATCAGCTTTATCTCAAAAACATCACCTGTTCAGTCAGCTGTTGTGGTCTAAAAAGCAGTTCTGTCCTAACTCAAAGACCTAGACATCTTCTGAGTACATACTTTCAGAAGTCAGAAACTAAGTCCTTGACTCCAAAAGGAAAGCTGAGCTTCAGCTTCACTTCATCTAACAATGACAACAAACACAGTCCCAAGACAAAATAGACAGAATGCAATGCAATGCAGAAGGTCAGATTTTCCATGGAACAGTACCACAGTTTTCAACCCCCAAGTATTCAAGACAGGAGTTTATTACTCAGATCAACACCGCCACACAACACAAAACTAAGGTACAGCAAAAACATTTTTCATTACATCGATTAGTTTAGTTGTTTTTCAAGTGAAAGCATGAAAAAGAGTCAACAGCACAAATCTGCACGCAAGTTAAGCTAGGGATATTCCCTCTATCATCATCACCATGAATATATTTTGACCGGTAAAAGCAAGTAATTCTGCTTTTGAACAAAACAAACCATATAAGAGTAAGGACCATACATTCTAAAAACAGCAAGATGTTCCGACTCGCTTTCACTTTAGACATTACTTCACGTTGAAATGTGAAACCTGTATTAGACAGAGGTTCAGACAAACACAGAAAATAAAGAATCATGTGATTCAAGAGTTGAAAACTTACTTGAGTAGTTCGTAATTCTTCTCATTTAGTCTTACAGCATTCTCCCGCCAAAACTTCTCAGACTTGTGTACAGGACTCCACTCCAGTCTTCCTGACTTGAGCTCAGAACTGTACTCATCGAAGGAGCTGCAAAACAAAAGACCTCAATGAAATATTGGCTAAGCTTCTATGAAGAGAGTTTGAACCCTGTGCCCAAGCCTATCCCTAACAAGCCAAAGCTGGAGCACAACTTGCTATGACACATTCAGAAGTCAGCTTTCTGCAGAGCATGAGAACTGTTCCCTGTCTCAGAGTTCAACACTTTCAGGAAAGGCATGAAAGGCAAACGTACCCCTCCATCCACCCAAACACAGTTCCGGGGAGGGGGGAAACCCAAGCCACACAATCACAGCATTTGGGAATTTAATTGGCTGTTTTGCCTGTTTTCTAGGTTTTAACTTCCTCAGCCAAGGATCCCAGTCCTTGCCTTTCATCCAATAAAACCTTTGACAAGAACTAGGAAATGCAGTTCAATTTATGCACAAGATCAAGAACTAGGTAAACAACTGCAACAACTTGAGTTAATCTGGACAGCAAGATGTCTTCTAAACAGGTAGTCTTCAGCTTAGACTGGAATTCCTATATGATCCCTCTGAAGTCCTTTAACAATTTATCAGTTGCAAAGATCACATATCCAAAAGTGAAAATTTATTTTCCGTTCAGCCTGTAAATGCTCACTTCAAATAGGAAACTTCTACATACAACCAGCGTTTCTGTATTGCTCTACCTTATCAACTAGCATCTACATATCGTAATTCTGTGTATTATTTAGCCTTAAAAATAGTTTTAGCAATGTTCATGTATTTTAAAGTTCACACTGCAAAGCATACCTCAGGTCCTGCACGCTCTCACCAAGCTTGTCCAGCAGAAATTTGATATCTTCACTGATGTCTTCATCATCATACTTCTGCTGATCCAAATTCTCTAGCTGCTTTAAAACTTTACACTGAATCATGGCAAGAGCATATTCTTGACGAGTTTCTCTCTCAGTAGATTTCTCTAATAAATTCTAGGGAAGTAAAAAATTATTTGTTTTGTTTGTTTTAAGAACAGACTACTCAGAAACAAAGTGGTATTTTTAAGAATATCTTACTGGCACTTTTTAATTTAGTAAGTGACAGAATTGACTACTTCCTGAAATAATCTCTCCAAACAAGTAAAGTATGAGTCTACCACACAGTGGCTGCTTTACACCTACATTTAGTAGCATAAATTGCCTAGGACTGACCTTACTACATAGGAGGAGTATTCCTATCTGTCACTATAGCAGATGAAGAGGAACGTAAAAAAAAATAAAAAAAGAAAAAAAGGCTCTGTCTTGCAAGGTAGCAGTAGCAGTAATGCAACCGTGTGTGCTGAAAAACACAGCCACCACTGCATTTAAGTTTAGGTCACTTAGACATTTTTCCTCCTGGACGGTATACTACCTTCAATACTAGGAAGTATCAATTCACCTGCTTTGATCATTTTCAACATCAAATTGGGCTGACTACAAAGACTATTCAAAGAAAAAGGGCAGGTTTATATCCCAAATGCCAGAGACTCTGCCATTAACAACTACTTTTATCTGGAATTATCATTTTAGATTTCCATGCAGCAATAGCATTAAGCAGGAAAGCCTTAAAAAGAAACTAAACACCCAACAAAAAACTGAAGTCATCTTTCCAACTCAAGAGTTACCATCTGGATTAGATCAGCTTATTTTGAATTTGGGAATATTCCAACTAGACATTTTTATTCAAACAGAAGCTTGTTCGTAAGACTGGAATTGCAAGTACAGAATGTAACAGTCAAGTTCCAATGTCATTTATTCATTACATTTCTACTCAATTTAATCAGCTTCAAATCATGTTGTTCAAGCAGAACTAGCCACCTGCACGTTTTGATAAAGCTGAAAACATGAATTCTATATAAAAGACAAAAGTCCTTCACAAACAGAACATGTGTTCGTATAAATAAGGCTTAACATCTACCATAAATAAGCAATGACACCGTACAGAAGGAATTTGACTGCATCACTCTCATTCATCACACTTCAGGTTTCTAAGATATCAGACATCACACTAGTTAGTAAGACAGAACACTGCAAATAAATGTTAAAACTTGCAAACTAAAAATAAGTCATATTACTGCTTTTAATGGCTTTAATATAAAAACTCTGTTTCTAGTTCAGTAAGAGAACCGAGAGGTAAAAGGTAATTTACAGAAAGTAATACTAAATTACTTACAGCTAAAAGTGCTAACTAGAGCAAAAGAACAAAGAATGAAACTTAAAAGACAACATTCAACAAGCTCAAGGAGCAGGTAGATAAAGTTTTCAAAGAACTATTAGTTAAGAGAATTATAGGCAGAGTTGTAAGTTACTCCAAATATTATTACCTATCTCATACTGTAGTGAGATATTCAAGCTTTTTATCATGAAATTGAAAGGATATATTAGGAAAGTATAAACAGGAACACATGACTAAATAGAATGGATCAGTGAACTACTCAGTGATTTAAAAAAAAAAAATCTTGAGTTACAAAACGATTTACAGGTAGGAAACACATAAAAGACAATAAAAGTAGGAAAAAAGAGGAAAAAACATTTTAATAGGTAAAGAGAGAAAGTTATTAATTCACAGTAGACAGAAGTACCCAATACCTGTTGCTTTACAGAAAAAAAATTACATTTCACTGACATACTTCAGGCAATTAACTTTCCAAAGAGGTGAAACTGGTCAAATTCGGAGAAACTGAGAGAAGACGTATGCAAGTTGTCAAGACTCGTGGCATACCTTCACCAATGCACAGGCAGTAGGGGTGATTTGAAGAAATCATCAAGCCTAGTCCTTCATGCAATTCACTTCCCCCCTGCCCCCAGCTGATGCTGTTTACTGTGCTGCTCACACAGGAAAAGGGCTTTTTCACCTCTGCTACATATTTTACATATTTTAATTTTGCTTCAGATCTCACAACTCTGATGTCTAATTACGAATCTGTTATTTGCCGGCTGCCAGTTTATAACCTCATTTTCATGTCAATGCTAGTCTTTAATGTTAGAGAAAGAAAACAGCAAAGTTAGTTTCCCCAAAGCCTGTTACAGAGCCATCATCTTCTTTCTTCACCTTTATTTATTAAAAGAACTTGGCTTCATTTTTGTCTCCTCTTGCAAAACACACTAAATCTCAGAACTAGCAATTATTTCTCCTATTTTTGATGACCTCAGAGTAGGAAGAAGTTGAATATAAAGTGCCAAGCCCCTCAATTTCTTCCCCCCCCCAAGCTGTCTTACTATACGTCCCTGACTAATCCCAACATTAAGATCCTAAAGAACACTAGAACATCTGCAGAGGTCTACATAGTAAGAATAGCCCCTACTGAATACCTCACACCACTGACCTCCTTCAACAGGATAAATAACATATTTTTATGATCCACCTTACCCAGAAATTTTTCAAAGTGGCAGATGCTTTAGGCTAGAGAGACCATTTAAGTCGCAGAGTAAGCACCTTCACACAGCTCATTATTGCTGATCAGCAAGTCAGTAACAATTTCCCTCTCCCCAGCCTAATCTGCTTGCAACACCTACCACTGGAACACAATCAACACCCAGGAAAACAAATAGTTTCCAAAACCTACATCTCCTACTCAGAATACAAGTCCCATTTTAAAATAGGATTACAAGTTGTTATAGCACTTCTGTATAAGACTCTTGACCAGCATTCACATAAAACAATGTGCACATGCACAATTAGCATCCATGAACACAAATTGGTACTTTCACAATGAAAACATCAAGCCTTGGTGCTCAGTTATTCCAAATTATCTTAAACACGACCAGTGATTTTCAGGTAACATGGACACAGTAAGTCAACTAATCACTCTTACATGTATATTTTCATTCATCTTGACAGAGCCACCAAGAAAAGATTTTGGGACTAGTAGATAAACATAATTTCTAAGTCAATCAGTTGGACAAACACACATGTGTTTAAATCATATTTTTTATTTAAAGCTTCATAAGGCAAAATTTATCAGGTATTAGTAACTACAGTGTTTTACACTAGTACCAGCAGGAAAAAGAATCTTGAACTAAAGAAGGGAAATCTCTAGTGCCTGTGTTAACATAGATTTGGTTTTTAGTCAACCTTATTTTAAGAAGACAATGAATAGCAGATGCCTATTACTTTTAATAGCATGTCTACTACCTGTAGCAAAACTCAGTTCACAGAAAAAAAAATAAAAAAGAAGGGAGAATTAAGCTTTCAATCCAGTTTACCAATATGGTCTAGCAGAAACAGCTGTGCATCAGCAACATTTGAGACCTATGCATCTGAGAGAGAGACACAGTGCAATTGCAGTCAACACACACTTACCCGAAATGCTGCAAGGATGATTCTAGTTACTTTCTCTTTGACAGATTCCTGAAGAATATCCGACAGCACTGGAACAATATTATACCGACGGAGATATTCACACATTTGAGGGCTAAAGGCCAGCAGCCACACACAGAAAATCATCTGATACTGGAGCTGAAAGCCACATTTGTTGCTCAAGACCCCCATGATACTGAAAAATTAACATAGCATACATTTCATTTTTAAATTATGACCACATAGATTGCATTGCTCCACCCTGAAACATTAAAAGAAATGGTTAATAGGAGCTTATTGGAAAGAGCTGCTGCGGATGAGTATACAACACACACTTCACAGTATCCTGCACCAGTATTTATCATTATACAAGCAGCTTGTTCAGAAAGCCATCTTTTAAAGATATAGTTATTTCCTCCTTAGCCTTACAGCCATAAAGCAACTTTCCTTATGAGAACTGATGTGGTACTATATTCATCTTCAGGTTCACCAAGACTCTTTTTCTACTGGCATGTTTAGAGCATTATTTGTCATTCTAGGAGAAACAGAGAAACACCTAGCTACTCCTTCAGAGTCAAGAAAGAGAAGGAGTAAACAGACAGAACAAAATCTACACAAATTGAACTTGTTTCTTTAATTGTATCTCTGCACAGGAGTGTCTGAAATGAGCTGAAGTAGTCATTATTTAACAAGTGAGTTCTCAGAAAACAGCTTATAACACATCACAGATATACAAAGCACTGCTAGAAAAGAAATATTACAAGACCTCCAAGAAGAAATCAGGCAGAACCTTTGTTCACCTAAAGTTCTGAAAATTTAATAAGCAATTTACAGGTCCATTCCAAAAAAGATAACCCAATTAAAATAAAAAATCTACTTTCAAGATCACTGCTATCAAAATTAAGACAAATTCAAACTAGTCGAAACACAGGCTAATTGTAATGCTTTAATAGTTCTTTAAAAAGCTTCCTTGGTGAAAAAGTTTGTTTTAATTAGTGTCATCTTGACACATGTGAACATCTTTTGAACTCTCACTTCACTGGCAAGTTTGACTTTTCTCCTTTTCAGAGTACAGGGGTATTTTTCTTAAAGTGCAAACCATATAGCCACCATCCCCAACAGAGGCATCAGTGGCAGAAAAATTATTTATAGTCAAGCATTTTTAAATAAGTGACAACATCCTAGCCTCATGCAGAGCTATTTATGAAGAGAATCTGGATAAAATAATGACCTACTGAAGATATATGTGGAAAAAAAAATCAGCTTAGCTCTAGAACATGTTTCTCCTTTCACTAATACTTTCAGACTGAACAACTCCAAACTGAAAGGCAAGGAATATTAGCAGAAACTCATTCTGTTGGTCCTTCTTTTATTAAATAAAAAGCACAGCATCTTCAGCTGAAGACAAAAGGCTGTATTCACCTTCAGATATTTATTTAAGCAGTTCTTCATGAAGAGTAAGGTAGCATTAAAGCTTCAACATTGGTACCTATATCTGCAGGTTTCATTTCTCTATTTGATTGTACTCATGTTTGAAAACAAACAGGTTTTGAACTCAAACAGAGCAGCTGCCTTTTGCAATAGAGTTCTATTCCAAAAGAGGTCACTGGGGAACGTGCTATTGTAAGTGCAAGTATATCCACATAAATTGAAATAAATGCTCACCAATTTACTCCATCTGCTTCTACCCACGCAAAGCGATATTCATTGACCCTGAGCATCAGCTGCAGACATCCAGCAACACACTGTACATACTGGGAACTCTGGGTGAAAAGAAGAACACATCACTTCTTACAGGAAGAGTTAGGTAGCAAGTGCTGCAGTTCAGTTTTTCAAACTAGGCTTTACTGGCATGCTTCAACACACGTTTCTTCAGTGACACTTCTGAGATAAACAGGCTCACTCTTACAATGCCTTACACACCCCTATTAAAAAAAAACAAAAACAAAAACAAACACAAAAAATACCAAAACAACAAACAACCCACAAAACTCACAAGAAAAGGTGAGAAGCAAAATATAAATGGAAGACATTTGTGAATAGGAAAGAAGTGTTATGCAAGTGATACCATTTTACATTACCATAACTGATTCTTATAGCCCATTTGAACATGCCTTCTTTCACTATCTATGAATGAAGGCTGTCTTCTGTTTGATTATACTGCCAGAGCCCTTTTATCCACACAGTCAGCTGTTATTCCATTGAGCAAACTTTGGGAAATAAATCAGCAAACTGGTTACCAAACTTCAAGAAGTTTCCTAGAGGTCACTGCAGAAAAAGGAATCCTGAGCTCAGGTTCTTCCCACTCTCATTTTCCAACTCCAAACAGCAGGGGTGTCATTACAATTCTATATTTTCCTGCACATGTGCCACACAGTGAGTACCACACTTATCATAATCAGAAGTATACTTCTACAAAAAATACCATTAGAAAAATGAGTATGCAAAATTATCCTCAAAGTTTAGCTTTGCATGTTAATTTTTTCTTCTTTTCATTAAAAGCTTAGCACAGTATACTGTGCTAAGAAAAGAATAACGCTAAACTTTCCCATCAGGAAAACACCAAGAGATGCACCACTGAATTCTATTTTCATTCAGACTTCTATATGTACAGTCACAAAGACAGTATCATTGAACAGCTTTTCATCTCTAAAAGCATATGTTTTCTGTGCAGTAACACACAAGATGGGCTGCAGTTCAAAACTACGTTTTGGTCAACCCATTGTCCCTTCCACTACAGCAACAGAAAGATCCCAAGGTACAACGCAGGTGGCATTTTTTTTCTCTCTTCTTGCTCACCTTCTAGCATTATCTTCACTAATCCTCAGATATGCTGCTGATAAAATGTTGGGGTGTGGTTTTTTTTTTTTCCTATAAGCCTTTTTCTTTACTAAGTGTCTTGAAAGTCTTATGGTAGATCACTCACATAATACAAGGTCAAACCTTTCAAACATTTAATGGAGTAAAGTTGTTAGGCAATCCCACATGAAAAGAGAGAATAAACAGAATTTCAAATGAAGATTAATTCATTCTGTGTCTCTCATCAGAGATTAAGACCTTTACGTAGAAAAATGAGTCTGAACACGTAGGCCCAAATCATCATACAGAACATTAATTTCTCTGGGTAGGTATTCTCTCTCACACACCATGCAAATAAACCAGCTATAAACACACAAGACAGCCCTCCTGCCCCAAATAATGTATTCATTTATCTGCATCACCAACTTGTGTACCACTCAACTTGGAGTTCTCTCTTTGAACAGTCTGTCATAAAAGCATTCTCTTCCAGCACTACTATAATTGAAATTTCATAATAGATCCCAGTGCGCATTTCCTCTGTAAAATGTTACAACTGCATCTCTAATTTACTCTGAAATAAATTAGTGAAAAACTGCTTGGAAATCCTGCACAAACTAGGTCTGAAATCAGAACACTAACAAAGTCAAGACAATACTTACCCAACTTAATTATCCTAGAACAAATTTGCACTATCAGTTCTGCTGCTTTGGGACCCTGTAGAGGTACGGTACGTCCATGCAGTGCTACAGTACCATGAATACAGATTTCTAAGCAAGTTAGAAGAGCTCACAGCTCCATAATGAGTGGTGTTGCGTGCTGTAGAACTATTTACTGTTTAAAGGCTCTGTGAGAGAGTGCTGTCAGTCTAACAAAACGTGGAAGTATGGCACACAGAACTGCACATGAAATACTGAAATACTTCACCTTCTATGCTCAGGCCCTAATTTTACCCCCTATCCATCGCTGTGCATAACAGTCTCTCATCTTTTCTATTTTAAACCCTAGTCAGGTGGTAATTTAAGAGGCTTTTCTCTACAGGAAGCTAATGCTTTAAAGCAATGACTACATTTAGAAGCGAAACAAATTCTAGGTTTGTATTTAAGTCTTCTGAAAAGCCATGAAGACTTTCAGGTTGCAAAGGGAATAAAAGACCAAACTGAATCCTACTCCACATTCAAAAGCTACGATAGACCGCCCCGTTGTACCACAACAAAACAGAAAATTCAGTTATGATGATCACTTGCATTTGCTATGCTGCTGCAGTTCATCTCCAAGCTCAACAGCCATTATAGCTACATGAAATTCAGTATAAATACTGATGAGAAAAGGACAATCCATTTTCACCTGAATTCAGGCTATTCACATATGAAAAGCTTACAGCTTTGAAAGCGCTCTTGTAATTTGATGCTACAGAGGTTTCAGGGACAATGTTATCCTCAATATCTGATGCGCCTTTTCTCAATTCCGCACATTACGAGAGCCAAAAGCTTCTTATTTTCAGGTTAGTTCTACAAGTCAGACAGTTCAGTGCTAAACAGTCAATGTTGTTTAAATATTAAATTAACTGCCTATAATTTTTTCAAGTTTTAACAAAGAGGATGCTAGATACATCTATATTTTTAACAACCCAAACAACTTGTAAAATACATGCTTCCACTGCCAGCATTTTTGGCGAAACCAGTGTTCTAAAATTCCTTTTGTTTCTTGGCGCCATCACCTGGCACTCTGTTGTCGTACAGTTCTGATTCCAAGTACTTTCTGTTAACTGACACCAGAACAGCTCTGCACCTTAATCTGAGGAGTGGGTATCACCTGCTCAAAATAGCAACTTGACAGGTTTCAAGGATATACTCACATCACTTGTGGAGACTGCTCCTGTTTCCACAGAACCCCCCGTACCACGTATTTTCTAGAAAAAAAAAAAAAAAAAAGTTTACATTCAGAGCTGTCCTTCATCCTTACAGAACAGTTGTTACCAAGTTTCTTTCAATTCTCCCATCTCTTCAGTCATAACAAGATTAAGAATCTATTAGATATTTTTTCTGCTCAGTACATTATGATAATATATTGTATTTGTTTCCTACACACACCATCAAGTCTAGAAGAATATGCTTGAAGCTAATCATGGTATATGAAGATTTAAATTTTTTTTTATTTTTTTTTAATTCAATCGTGGATTTACTCAAGACATTTATCCATCTTATCTTAGAATTTGAAAACCATTCTCCTGAATCTTTCCGAAGCAAATTCCAACTTTAAGATTCTTCTTCCAGAGTAAAAATAAAACTCATTTTTAATAACCCCAGTCTGGAAAACTATGAAAAAAACTATATCCCTACTAAACCTACCGAATGTTTCTCTACTCTCCAGAATCCACTTCTGCTATAACAGAATGACAGATCACTGAATTTTGGTAAGGATTGCAGCGAAAATCTCCAAAAATCAATACAAAGGAGAACAATTAATCTTTGAAGAAGCCAGCAGTAAGCAGCTCATCTTGAGCTAACAGCATACACTGTCCAAATAAGTCAGGATTTATTTCGTTTCAAGTGACAGGACTAAAAATAAAAGCTTTGTACTACAGTAAACCAGAAAAAAGTTGATATTCACTTCCTGCCACCATGTGACCTTTCCTAGCAAAAAGTTCTGAGAAACAAAATAATACAGGGAGACAAAAACACCTCACCATATCTTTTCTCAGTCTCCAGAAGAAAATAAAGATTTACCAACAGAAAAGGCAAAAAGCCTTCTTCTTCAATTTTTATTTTTAATTTCCTTCTTTTTAATTTTTATTTTTAATTTAAATCTCAAGGACTGGAGTAGAAAATAGAAAATATTAAATTAAAAAGTATATATTTGAATAAAGGATATTTAGCTTTAAGAATAAAGTAAATTTCATTTTTAAAAAAGAAAACAAAAAATCCCTCCTGTTTGCGTATCTATATATTCGCATTCTTGAAAAAAGCGTGAAAAAGTCACGCTAACATTTAAACAGAAGTAGCTTTTTACCTGTGAACTGAGCTGAGTTTTTATCCAGTTGAAATAATAATTCAAGTCACTGCCTTCCATAAGTTCCTTCCCCCATGCAGCCAGTTTGGCAATAATTCTTGCTGCCTGGAAATGAATGCAATAAACAGATTTTTCAAACAGAGTAATTTCAGGATTCAGTGAAAAGCAGTATAAGCTCTGAAAATGAAGTTTAGGTAAAAAGATGGCCCCTTACAGAAATCTACCTGTTTTCTGTGTAGGGGACTCGTCATGCCTCATCATTTTGTTTCTTCAGTTTTCTGCTGCTTCTACTTCCTAGTAATTGGCATATTTTCACAGTGTTACTGGATACCCACCTCTGATGAAGTTCACAAGGCACCAACAAAGAACTCAGAAGAAGGGGAGCTATCAATGGGCTACTAAAGTAGGACACTATTACAGTCAGAAATCCATCAACAGTAAGACACTTAATGGTCTAACACATACAACGGCAGGCTTACTTTAAGCAACTATGGTATATGCCAACATAAATGATTGCAAAGTATTAAAGTTTCCTGTACTTAAACCAAAGCAAGTCATCTTCAAGAAGAAGGAATTTTCAAGCCCAGAAAAAGAACAGCAGAAAACCAAAAGGGAAGGTAGAATTTAAGAATGAAATTAAGGAGTAAAAATGTAGTCAGGTTAAAAATTTTCACGATGCCTATGGCACAAGAATACATACAACAAAGAGTATATTTCTATGCTAGCCTTGCCAAATTACGTCTAAAGTAACTCTGCATTGCATCCTGCAGCTTATTTGCAGGAACATTTGAGCCAACTTATGTATAAGTATGCCATCTAACCAAGAAACTACTGAGGCAGGGATTCGTTTGACTGCATACAGCTCCACGATGCAGTGAGGGGACCATTCCAGTCACCTTTCCACTACACCACATTCAGATGTGCAGCATCACCAACGATTTCTAGAGCAATTACGAGTGAGAGTCTGGAACAACGATCTCTACGCTGAAATGCATCAAATCCACTACTGAACGCAGCCAAGTAACACTATAAAATCCCCTCTGCTTTAAAACATGAGATATCAGATTGCCACATTACTGTGCTCCTGAGTTCAAACTGCTACCTGACCCTTGAATAAGAAACAATTCATGCCTAGCAGAATTTGAGCCTGAACACAGAGAAAAAGTATTTTTATCTGTCTATGCAGATACAACGATGTGGTAGCGAAAGCCTTCCAGTGTGCATATGGGAGGGAAGCAAAAAGCCAACAAAACCAACAGCAACCTAAAACTTTGTTTTGAAAACATGCACGTGCTTTAAAAAAATTATGCACAAAGTGTACTAAAAGGCACAACAAGGGAGCAAACTTAGTGTTGTACAGTGGATTCACATTGTGTTAAGTTCCCTGTGACTTGTAAAGTTATTTGTATATCTTCGCAGTACCTAAGAAAACAATACCTGAACAACACACCTGTCAGCAGAGAAATACTGAGCATAAAAAACTACACTATACATTTGAAAGCCACCATTCTAGGGAGACTTGCACTGGAAGGGTCTAAAAATTACACTTTACCTGCACGTTTGAGAAGTCAATATTGTCCAGGTTTGCTCAGACTGTGGTTTTGCATATGGGTCTTCAGCAGCAATACCACAAAAAAAACCACAAC